AGGTCGGGGTTTAGGGGACGGGGTGACAGGGAAGAGAAAAAAGCCTGGAGAAAGGCAGAGGGAATGAAGCGGGCGAAGGAATGCCCGTCTGAGAAGGCGCTGTTCCCGCTCTTCACTGGGCAGCGTCCCCTGCGGGTCCCCGTGTGTGGTGTGGGGCCGCCAAGGGCCGTGGACCCAAGGGCTGGAGGGGTGGGGCGGGAGCAGCCAGTTACCTGAAGCCTCAGGAACCGAGGCCAGGCGTACGGCGGCAGGTTTTCAGAAACGTGGGCATAGAGCTGCACAAGGTCCAAGGAGTGGGGGGGACGCAGAACCAGGGCCGCCATTCCAGCTCTGCCTTCGTGCCCTGTGGGGTGGGGACAGGTTACCAGCTGCTGTGGGGGCCCACCCGCTGGCCTCATGTTCCCTGTGCCCCAGTAACACCGGGTCAGGGAGGCAGGCCGGCTGCCTCCTGCCTCTCATATCTTGGCACCTGGCACGGTAACTCCGTAGACGTTCACCTCCTGAAGAAAATCCAGAGACTCCAAGGCCTCCGCCACCTCGGTTGTGGCCACATTCTCCCCTTTCCACCTGCCAGAGGGCGGAGATCCTGGGCCTTAGGGGGTGGGTGGGGGGAGGGCACAGTCGGGGAGCAAGATGCTCCCAGGGAGGAGGCACTGCGGAGGTCTGTCTGTCAGGAGTGGATGGATGAGGGGCGGGTTTGGGTATGTGTTAGTGAGTTAGGGTTAGGGGCTCTGGGTCACAGGGACTGGACGTCTGGGAAAGGACTCCAAGTCATGCACAGATACCTGAAGGTGTCTCCAGTCCGATCGTGGAAGCGGAGAAAACCCTGGTCGTCGCAGACCAGCAGGTCCCCGGTGTTGAAGAAAACATCCCCAGCTTGGAAGACACCCTTCAGCAGCTTTCCCTGGCCCAGCTCCGGCCCCCCAGCATAGCCCAGGAACGGGGACTGCTGGCTGACCGGGGCCACCAGCAGCCCGGGCTCACCTGGCAGAGCACTGGGGTCAGGGGTGGCTGCCTACCCACCAGGAGCCTCCTGTCCCTCGCCCCACTGTCCAGTCCCAGTCCTCTTCTGCCAGCTGCACCACCCCATCCAGCCCGCCTGAGCACGAACCTGGACATGTGGCCACACAGTGCCCCTGGGTATCCCGAATCGGCTCCCCTGTGGTGACATCATAGCGAATCAAAGAGAAGGGGAAGACATGCTGGGGGAAGGGAGACCCAGGCACTGGGTCATTTCAGTGGCATTAACCCCCTCCCTGCCGGCCCCCACCTGCCACAGGACCCCCAGTTTCTCTCCCAGGCCTCCCTCACCTTATAAAGCCAGGAAGCACGGCCCACAGCACCCAGCTGTCCCGTGTAGTTAAAAGTGGCAACATTGCCCTCGGTGAGCCCGTAGGTCTCCAGCACCCGCAGGGGACCAAAACGGCGCACAAAGCGCTCCCAGGTGTCGGGTCGCAGCCCGCTGCCCACTGCCAGCCGGACCTTATGGCCATGTTCCGCCGTGCTCTGAGATGAGGAGAGACGGGCAGAAGGATCACCACCAAGACACCGTTTCCCTGTCCCCTGAAGCCCCTTCCACCGCGACCTCGCTCAGATGTCCTGGCATCCCAGGCTCCTCACCCCACCCCACCAAGGTCTTCCTGCACGGTCTCCGCCTTATGAAGTGCCCACCTCCCTGCGCAGGCCCCTCTGCCCGGTCCTCCGCCCACGCACCGGTGGCTGGTTGACAAGATATCTGCACAGCTCCCCTATGTACTGGAACACTGTCACCCCGTGCTGCTGGCAGTCCTCCCAGAACTGACTGGCCGAGAACTTGGACTTCAGCACCACTGTGGCCCCTGCCAGAAGTGGAGAGGGGGGTGGAGAAAGGTGAGGTGAAGGGCTGAGTGGGGCGCCCTGACCACCCCCTTCCCAGACACTAGCCCTCACTGTTGTGTGTGGCTCCTGGGAAGGCCCTGCTGTGATGTCCAGCAGCAGGCAGCTTGGCCCACCTCCTTTCCCACCTGTGTCCCAGAGAGCTCAGTGCCCCTCCTCTGCTTCCCATCCCCACACTATCCCCGCTCTGCACCCTGACTCCAAGTCCCAACTCTGTCCATTTGCTTCTTCCCCAGCTGACAGCCACAGCCCTTCCCCAACCCGCCCTGGGAGTCTGGAGTCCTGCCAACTGTACAGGCTCCCTAGCCAGTCTGCAGGTTCTGCAGGGGTGCGGCCCCACTGGACCAGGAGCTCTCCGAGAGTAGCCCCTGCCTCCTTCCTCTGGATTCCCTACCCTGAAGGACTTAGGGAGCATCCCCAGGTGAGCACATCACAGAAGGGCCTTAATAAATGTTTGCTAGAAAAAACACCTGCTGGAGGATTAGAGGTGGGGAGGACTGGGGGGCACACTGGGGAGACTGACCAATGCCCAAGCAGCCCACGATGCCCAGGAGAGAGCCCGACATGTGGTAGAGGGGGAGGGCCAGGTAGATCACATCCTCCCGGTGGGCCCCACACAGCTGGTAGAAGGCCTGGCACTGCAGGATCTTCAGGTGACTGATCTGGGCAGCCTTGGGGAGGCCTGTGGGCAGTGGGCGGAGATCCGGGAAGGGTCTGAGCTTCAGGCCCTGCCTCCCTCCGCCCCTGCTGGGTTTCACACAGAAAGAGGCAGAGGCAAGGCAGAAGCCGAGAGTAAGGCAGGCCCGGCTGTCCTGGACCAGCCAGGAGTGGCAGGGAGGGTGTGGAGTAGCAGCTTGGAAACTGAAGCCATAGTTCTTGTTCCCAGTCTCCTGCCTTCCTCGGCCTGGTTTCTGGGAGGGAAAGCCGGTGCTCACCCGTGGTGCCAGAAGTGAAGATGTACAGGCACGTGTCCATTATGCTCTGAGGGGCAGACAGGTACCCTGGCACTGGTCCGTCCGCTTCTGCCGAGGCCTCGGCCAGCAAGTCGCTGATTCCTGCAGGATGCGCTTCAGGGCCTGCAGCCCAAAGACAGAGCCCCATGGCTCTCAGGGCTGGCAGGTCAGGCTCCAGCGACTCCAGGAACTCTGGGTGAGGTAGGAAGGCATAGCTCGGAGAAAGGAATTCTTCTCCGCCCCTCCTGGGCGAGGAGAACGTTCTGAACATCCCATCACCGCTCTGGGGACCACAGACCCAGCTTCATCCCGCGGCCAACCCGAAGACTCAGACCCTCAAGCACCCTTTCCGAAACCCCTGGAGAAGGCTCCGCCCCCTTCCGAGCTCCGCCCCTTCTCTGCGGCCCCTTTCCGAGGCCGGCCCGGCCCTCGGGGCCGTGCGCCCGGGCCTTACCTGGCGCCAGGACCAGCGCGCGCGCGCCGCAGCTGCGGAGACAGTGCAGGAGGGGACCCCGGCGCAGGGCGGCAGGCACAAAGGCTGTGCGCAGGCCGGCCTTGGCCAGCCCGAACCAGAGCCACAGGAACTCCGGGCAGGCGGGGAGAAGCAGCGCCACGGTGTCCCCGGGCGCTAGAGGGGCCGCGGCGCCGGCCACTCCCGCGGCCTGCTCGGCCTCTGCGCCGCCGCTGGGCCCCGCGCCCCAGCCCCGCGCGCGCAAGAAAGCGCGCGCAGCCCGGTTGCTCTCGCGCTCGGCCTCCGCGTAGCTGAAGCGTCGCGGGCCGTGGACGAGGAAGATGTGTGCGGGGCGCTGCCGGGCCAGTTCCGCGAGGCGCCAGGCCAGGCTGCAGCCCCCCTCTGGGCCCCTCGGGTCGGCGGCGGCCGCGGCCAGGGCACGCGCTCGAAGAGCCCGCTTGCATCGCAGGGCGCGTACCGCGAAGGCCAAGTCCGCCGGGAGCCAGCGCAGCCCCGGCCAGAGGTGCGGCTTCCGCAGCAGGAGCAGCGGCGGCAGCAGCAGCAGCAGCAGCAGCAACAGGGCCGCCATGGTGCCCTGCTCCTGGGCCCGACCCCGAGGCTCCCTTTCGAAAACTGGGGCTGCTCGCTTTTGCTTGGAGACCTCTCCCTCCCGGGAGCGCGCGTGCGCCAGCACACGCCCCTCCCCCCCTTCTCCACAGGCGGGGAGCCGAGGCCGGGAGGTGCGTGGGGGGCGGCCCCGAACTCTCGGCCCTCCCCACGGCCGCGCTCCGCCCTGTGCGTGATCCCTCGCCCACTGCGGAGGGCTCACACCTTCCACCGTCCGGATTCAGGTTTTCTCCCCAAGGCCGCTTCTGTCCCGGCCTGAGGATGCCACCACTGCTCTCCCCCCAAAACGGCCGGAGAACTGGGCCCTTTGCCCCTTTGGCGCTGCAAGTCCCCGCCTAAGGGCCAGACCAGTGCCCTCCCCCAGCGCCAGCAGCAGCCCTAGGGGAAGGGTGGGGGCCCAGGCAGCAAGTCCTGGAGGGGCGACGGCCGAGGCCCCTCCTTCTGGGCAAGGGCACAATAATTGGGGCCAGCCAGCAAATGCTTTCCATCCTGGTTTTAATTGGGGCAGAAGGAATGGGAAGGGGAGAGGAAGAAGAGGCCTCCTGCGACTTGGACTTTTAAAGGAAGGAATAGCAGCTTTGAGGAAGGAGCCACTGGACCCTGCAAGCCCCCTGTCCCCGCCCAGACCTCCCTCCTCCCTGCTTGGCGGGCTGCCCAGCCTCCTGGGCAGCCAAGGGGGTTCTTTTCTGCTGGGACACAGGGGACAAGGCAAGCAGCTGTGGAACAAAGAGTTTCCTTCCTATCTGAATTCTCCCCACTGGGCCCACTTCTGTCCATCAGAATCCGAGTTGGGGGCACCCTTCACCCCCAGTGAACCCTCCTGTAGTTGGTAAGCACACAGATCTCCTAAACTGAACAAATACTCACTTTTGGAAGCCTCTAGTTTCTTGAGAGAGAAGTAGGGAGGAACAGAGTTTTACTTGGAGAGGTGCCTGGACAGGTCAGTGCCTGGCTCACAACCCCAGTGGCAGCAGAAGGCTGGGCAGGTGGGGGTGGCCAAACGCCCCTCCAGACCAGGGGGTGTGCAGGAAGGGAAAAGGGGAAGCTCCCCAGCCACGGGGGTGGGGGGTGGGGGGGGGGGTAGGGGGGTGGCACCGGGGAGCAGTAGCGCTGTCAGGTGCCCCCCACTAGGAGCTCCTGGGCCAGCAACTCCAGCACAAAAGAGGTTCTGGCTTGTTTTATTGTCATTTAAAAACTTTTAAAAAGCGATTATCTCTGCCAAAAACCAAAACCAAACAAAAAGGAACTAAGGAAATGGGACCATTTGACAGTTCCATGGAAGCTGTCTCTGGGAGCCCCAGGGGCTCTGGCCTCCCTCTCCCCTCGGTCCCTGCCTGAACCCTTCCGGCATATGCCCCATGTGGAGGAACAGGCAGGCAGGGGGACATCACTGGTGACATGCCCATTGCACATGGAGGACGGAGAGCAACTATAAAATGCCTGTTAGGAGCGAATCAAGGCCAGATGGGGGAGCCGGGAAGGGCTGTCCATACACTGTCTTCACTCCCATCCTGGCCTCTCTGACCAGCAAGCCCCGTCTGCCATTTCTCTTCTCTTTGGGGGACTGGGGAGGGGCAGGGGCTGAGGACCTGCACCAGCCCAGATTTCACACAGCCTCTGGCTTCCGTGGGACCTGAGTTGGTGGGAGCAGCAGTGTGAGGGGGCTAGAGGCCCCCGGACGGGAGGGAGCAGGGGCTGGGGCCGCATGGCAGCTTCGCAGGCTGAGCTGGAGGAGGCAGCTCGTCCTTCCTGCCAGGAGAGCCTTGGGTACCAGGTGAGCCTCAGGCGGAGGGAGAGGGCATCCCCCCGTATCTCCCCGGCCCTTACTAATCTCTGATGCACCAAGGAGGGGAGGGCAGTCCGGCGGGGGGTGGGATGGAGGAACACCGGGGCCTCAGTCACTGTCAGACCCCACTGCAGAGGACCCTTTCCGTTTCCGCTTGGTAGGCTTCGGTTTTGTGTCTTCTTCCTCCTGGAAGAGATGGGGGCGCCGGCCATTAGCCCGAGCAGCCACCGGTCCCAGCCGCGCCCGCTCCCACTGCTCCTGCGGCTCTCACCGAGGCACTGCTGGAGCCCGACTCTTCCTCGGCATTGGGGGGCTGCGTCGCGTTCTTTCGGCTGCGGGGGCTGGACAGAGCTGCTTTTCTCCGGCTCTTGGGCGGCTTGGTGGACGAGTCCTCGTACTCCTCGGCCAGGGAGAAGAGGTCGCTGAACCTGAGGGAGAGAGCCGGCCTCAGCACAGTGCTCCGGGTGCTCTGTCCCGCAGGGGAGGGCCCTCCCGCGGTTTCCCAAAGCCTTACTTCATCTTGTGGGCCTCATCGCAGCTTGCCTGCACGTGCTGCAGCGCCTGGAGAATCGGGGTTTGGCTAAAAACTGGTGGGAGGAGGAGGGAGAGCGGGGAAGGAAGGACAGTGAGGGGTCAGGAAGTCACTGGGTCCTCCCGCCCCTGCCCAGGGCTGCTCAGAGCCAGGGTCTGCCGCGCATACAGTTCTGCTTGGTGTTGGTCAGGTTGAGGCGCAGGTTGTCCAAGTGTTCCAGGATCTGCTCCAGGGTCAGCTGCGCGAGCTTGCTGCTGGAGCTCCTCAGGCTGCAGGGATGGCCAGAGTCTGAGGCCGAGGGGAGGGCTCTGGGAGTCAGGGACACCCTCCCCACCAGGGCCCCTCCTGAAGACAGATGCGGCGCTTGCGAGGAAAGTGGGGTGGGGGGGTGGGTGGCGGCTGGGATTTGGGGGTGGGACAGAGACCAGCTGGCCTCTAGGGAAGGGGCCAGAGCCCGCGAGCAGCGTGCAGCCTCGGACCGCTAGGTGTCACCCGCTAACCACCGGGAAGGAACCGCCCAGGTGCCGGCCTGTGGGCAGTGGGCAGCCCTCCACAGGGTCCGCGTCCCCCCCCACACCTCCTGCTCCCCTGTCCTGCTCCCCCATCTGCTCCTCCCACTCCCCCTCTCACTCTCCCGTGCCCCCCCCAGGTCCCTCCCCCCACCTCTGCCTCTTGCGAGGAAGGCTGTTGTTCTTGATGAGAAGGGACTTGATGTGCTCGGCCAGCAGCTCGTCGTGCTTCATGCACCAGTGCCGCAGGATGCTGGTGGTGAACTGGTCGTCCGGGTGACACGGCCTGCTCAGCACCATCTTCACCATCTCCTCACTGGGCCTGGGGCGGGAGGGGGTGGAGGGCCTCAGGGTCCCCTGGTCTCTCCCTACTCCTGCGGCTTCCTGCTCTCATGCTCCCTCCCCGCTCCTTTCTCACCCCCCAACAACCCCTCCCCTCTCTCACACCCCCTACCCCTGGGCCTGGGGATGCTGGTTTTGTCAGAAGGGACCCCGCCAGTTCAGCAGTAGACGGCGGGCATACTGGGGAGGCAGTTCACCAAAACTCTCCCGCCGTGCCCATAATGGTCAGGAAATGGACCAGGGAGGTGAAAGGATGGCACAGTATCTAGCCCGAAAAGGCGCAGGGGAGGGGGGCTGGCCAGTCACCACCCCCAACCTGCCCACTTCCTTTAGGACGTTCTGTAGCACTTCTAGTCTCTCAACAGCTGTTGCCCTACTTATCCGGGCTGTTGGGAAAATGCCAGGGCTGTTGGGCAGAGGGGACTCTTGGTGGCTCCCCCCCCAGGCCCCACCCCTGTACTCTGACCCAGTCTCCTCTGAGATTAGCCCAGGGTGGCCTCATCACAGGAGGGGTGGGGAGCAGGAAACCGGGATGTCCGGTCCCCACCCCCATCCCCTCCTCCCAGGGCAGCTCCTGGTGGGCAAGGGCGTAAAGTCGAGAGGAAGCCCAGATCTCAGGGGAGCTGCTTGTTTATAAATCATTTTAGGGGAAGGGCAGAATAAGCAGATGTCTATGGTAAGAAAAAGCACGGCCAGCCTCCTAGAGCAGCAGACAGGAGCCGTTTACAGGATGCGCTCTCTTGATGCGCTGTGACTGGGAGCAAGAGCACCTGGCAGCAGAACTCACTTCTCTCTTCGGAGCTGAAGCAGCAGGCAAGACAGGGCCTCTGGGTGCTCTGCGGGGGAGGGCAGAGGTTGGTCAGAGGGTTGTCAAATCCCAGAAGAAAGATCCCTCTCCCATCAACAGCCACTCGAGGGAGCAAGCACAGCCTTCCCCAAGGAGTCAGGAGGAACAGTCCCTTGCTTCTACGAAGTTCTGAGCAGCCTGAGCCCAGCTCGTGCCTGGCTCAGAGTGGGCCTGCCTGCAGGACTCATCAGGGAGCCCGGCCCTCTGGACTCGCAGGGGAGGCGGCAGGGCCCGCTCATCCTCGCCCCCGAGGGGCTGGGGTGGCCCTTCCCGCCATTCTCCCGGCCCACAGCCCCACTCACCTTTGTATTTGAGGTGCTGCAGGATGGGGATTATGGTCTCCAGGGGGATGTTGTGGGCCAGGAAGAGCTGCCAGGCACAGTACTGCTCAAAGGTCTCCCAGTCCAGGCTCTGGACTGCAGGAGACAGAGACGGGGCGTACTTGTGCTCTCCTTCACACACACCTAGGGCTAAGCCACTGACTGCAGCACTGCAAGCCGGGGTGGTACACAGGTGGGGATACCGACCCCAAGGCTACAGATACTCTCTCCCTTTCCACACGGAGCATCATTTTCAAAGCCTTCACATTGTGTCTATGGTCCCACCAGCCCTGAGCTTAAGAACCAGAACCAGAGACGCCGCCCAAGACCATGGAGCAAGGCAGAGTGACCGTCTACCCCATTCTCAGCCCAAGCCAGCTCCGCTGTTACTAGAAAACATTCAGGCAGCCACACGGTGCTCCCCGCTCCCCCGGGCGGCCCGCAGGGTCTGCTCACTTACTGAGTATGTTGAGGACAGAATCCTTTCGAAACATAACTAGGTTCCCCATCATCACGTGGCAGACCAGCTCCTGGAGCTGAGGAGGAGGAGGAGGAGGAAGAAGGCAAGACCCATTGGTTCTAAAAGAAGCCAGGAAGCCAGTGTGGAAGGAGAAGCAGGAAGGCCCACATTGGGGAAAACCCAGAGGAAGGGAAAACCTAGTTTAGAGGCTTGGGGAGGTCTCTGAAGGACACAGGGCTGGTGAAGAACAGGCGAAGGCTTGTTTGGGGCAAAATAGTTAAAGAAAACCATTTAAGTGGTTTCCATGCCCTGACAGAGAGGGAGAATGGGCAACTTGTCTACCTGGCCCACTCTGGGCCCCAACCCACACCAGCCTGTGCCTAGGAGGGAGGGAAGGGCCCCGGGAGGCCGAGCTCTGAAACAGGGGTGTGGGTAGGAGAAAGGCAAAGAAAGAAGGGCTCTTCTGTCATAAATGGGGCGAATGAGTGGAGAGGAGGAACAGAAATGGGACCGCAGTTCGGCACAAGGAAACGCACAGGCAACGCTGCAGCCCCCCTGGGGCCCTGTACGAGGCAGAAAAGTCAATGGCCTGATCATTTTCATCCTGAGCCAAGGGGACGGCCAGTTGAGAGCTAAAAAAGAAACCCACCTCCTCGCTTTCCGTGTGGAACTGGAGTACCCAGGAAAGCATGAGCCCCACCTGCCTCTGTAGGGATCCATTTCTCTCCTAGCCCCCAGGCCTGAAGTGCACACAGGTGCAGCTCCCCCCCCCCCCCCCAGGATGACAGTGCCCTGTGCACCTGTGCAGAGTCAATAACGGCCACGATCATGTTCAGCAGCTCGCCACTCCGCAAGGTCTCATCTGGAAACTGGACAAAAAAGAGGGAAGCTGGGGTAGGAGTCCAAGGTGCATCCCTGACTTGGACCTCATCATCTGCTCCCCTTTCTTCCCAAAAGCTCGGGGGGCGGCTGGGTTAGCCAGACGTGGGCTCCTACCACAAATACCTAAAGAAAGATCCAACAGCTGCGAAGCTGGGACTCTAACTCTTCCAAAACCCAAATCTGCTTTATGGGTGCCCACAGCACGAGGAGTGTGTGTGTCTTAGGAAAGCAATGGGGAGCCATTGCCAGAGCCAAAGAGGACTGGCCCTGACTGGTGAGGGCTGTGTGGCAGCAGTGACAACATGTCCAATCTGTGCTGATCCTCAGCTGAGGAAGAGAAGGCACAGAGAGTCTGGGGTGCACAAGAGACAGGCCCGTCCTGGGTGAGGCCGGCTGACCAGGGAGGAAGCAGAGGAGGAAACTGCTCTGTGCTGGGCACATGCATCTGCCCCCCTGTAGTTGCCGGCTGAGATCACAGTTCCTCTTGTCGTGCCCACACCCCACGCCCTGATTTCCCTGTTCCCGGGAACTTTCACCAAGAGGAGGAAGAGCTGATACTTCCTCTGATGTCCCAGTTCCTAGAGAAGACGAGTGAATGAGGGAAATGAAAGTCGAGTCTCCACCACCAAGGCCTTGGTCTTTGGGAACCACTAGAGAAACCAAGGGTGAGCTGTCAGCTGGCAAGAGGGCCCGCGATGTGTGAACGTGGATTTGGCTGGGGGCCTGTCCCGGGTCCAGAGGATGGGGCCAAAGCTGAGAAGCCAGGTGTAGAGGCCCAGACCCCAACTCACATCACAAAGCACAGCATAGGAACTCTGGGGGTCTTAGACATTTTTTAACCATTAATGGGGGAGGGAGGGCCATGGGCAGGTGTGGTGCTGGAAAGAAAAGCCCGGTGCGGCCAGCAGGGGTTGTACGCAGAGACACGTAGTCTCATGAGCCCGCCCTGCACAGCGGCCCTGTCCCAGCGGAATCCTGTCACTGACCTCCGTATAGATGGAGGGCGTGAGGTGACACAGCAGCCGCACGTCGTCTTCCTGGCAGGCCTTCATGTCCATCATCAAGCAGGTGTGCAGATCACCCAGCTGCGTGGCCTGGGCAAACGACTCGTACAGGTTCATCTTCCCAGCAGCAGCTTTGCTGCAAGAGCAGTAGGGCCTGAGCCGGCAGCCAAGCCTGGCGGCCAGCCTCAGCCTCCCCCTAAGTAGGCCCTCGTCGGCAGTCCCTTGGCTGCCCCTGATGCTCCCCCCCACCTTCCTCAAGAATTTGGTGACTTAGAGAAATGAGGACACACTTTTCTCCCCCACCTCCTGCAGTGCCCCAAACAGCGCTGACCATGGCTACTGACGCTGCTAACCGATGAGAGTCGAACACAGGAGAGGGCTCAGCTTAGCCTAGAAAGCTCGCTCTCCCGCTTCCTGGGCTTTGAGCAATGAGGGCAGCAAGGCGGGGAGGCCCCCACTTCACATCACGTACAAAACAACCCAAACCGGGCCACAGACCTCAAAGTGAAGGACTGAAATCACCCAATGCCCAGGAGAAAACGCGGGAGAAACCCCTGTGACGGCACAAGTGACGGAGGAAAACAGACCAGACTCTCCAAAATGGAAAACTTCTGTGTTTCAAAGGGCTCCGTGAGGGCGTAAAAAGATAATCCGCAGGGTGAGAAAACACCTGCAAACCTCATGTTTCTTGAGGGACTGGTATCCAGAATATATAAAAACAAAACTTAAGAGTCAACAATAAAAAGATGAATGACTCCAATTAAGTAACGGAGAGGAGGGTCGCCTGGGTGGCTCAGTCAGTGAAGCGTCCGACTCCGGGTGTGGGCTCAGGTTGTGACCTCCGGGCGGCAGGATCGAGCCCCACGTCAGACTCTGTGCTCAGCGTGGCATCTGCTTGAGGATTCTCTCTCCCTGTCCCTGTGCTCGTCCCTTCCGTGTACACTCTCTCTCGCTAATAAATAAATCTCAAAACGAAATAAAACAGGGGCGCCTGGGTGGCTCAGTGGGTTAAGCTTCAGCCTCTGGCTCAGGTCATGGTCTCAGGGTCCTGGGATCAAGACCCACCCGCATCGGGCTCTCTGCTCAGCAGGGAGCCTGCTTCCCCAACCCCCGCCTCCCCCCCCCCTCCGCCGCCTGCCTCTCTGCCTACTTCTGATCTGTCAAATAAATAAATAAAATCTTAAAAAAAAAAAATAGGAGAGGATCTGAACAGATATTTCTCCAAAGAAAACACGCCAATGGCCAATGACAAGCACATGAAGAGCAGCTCAGTATCACCAGCCATCAGTGCAATGCAGATCAAAACCACCAACCCACTAGGATGGCTCTAACGAAAAAGCTGCCAGCCACAGGGGTCGGGAAGCCCATGAAAGCCCCAGGAATGGGCCGCAGGGACTCCATAAAGTAGTTCGGCAGTTCCTCACAGGGTTAAAGACGGAGTTACTGTTCAACCGGCATTTCACCCTGAGGTATATACACCTGGGAAAATCGGACACCTGCGTCCAGGTGAAAATCTGTATGTGAATGTTCACAGGAGCTCTTTTCACAACAGACAGAAAAGTGGAAACAAATCAGATGTCCACCGCTGGGTGAATGGAGAAACGAACTGTGGTACACCCAGACAGTGGAGGAGTATTTGGTCATAAAAAAAGAAGTCCTGACACAAGTGACAGCAGGGATGACCCTTGAAGACATTACACTAAGTGACATAAGCCAGTCATGAGAAACCACACGTTGTACGATTCCATTTATACGGAATATACAGAGGGAGTAAATCTGGAAAGACAGAGAGCAGATCCGTGGTCAACAGGGGTGGGGTGAAAGGGACAACGGGAAGGTGACTGCTGACTAGGACGTGGTTTCTCTTGCCGGTGATGAAAATGTTCTAAATTAGCCACCAGCAACAACTGTATAACTTTGGGAATGTACTTTAAACCACTGAATTATGGTTTTAAAGCGGTTATTAAAAAAAAACAACACTACACGGAAGGCCAGGTGATGACAGCCAAGGGCAGGAGAGTCAGCATACATAGGAGAGGTTCTGGGGACCATACCCACCTGGCCCGCAGGTAGTACAGCAGGTGGTAGCCAATCTTGGGCTGTTTCTGGTAGAGCTCAGAGAGAAGATCCAAGAGCAGAGAGAAGCTGCTGTTGTCTTCCTGCATCTGACACAGGTTCCTGGAGGTGGGGGAAGGGGGGAAGGGAGCAGAGCTGTATGTAGAGCAGACCCTCCTGTGGAGGCAGGAGATGTCTGTGCCCACTGCATGTCCCTCCCTCTGGAAAAAGGGTCCCATTCCCCGTGGACAGAAGCACAGGACTGCCGAGATGAGGACGGATGGCCCAGCAGTGTCTCTTACAGTTGGATCCTTACCTAAATATCAAGTAGAGAGGCTTTCCCACAGACTCCTCCAGGGACCTGCAAGAGGAGGGGGACATCTAAGAGTCCACATGAGTGGAGAAAATGCACTACAGGCAGACAATACGGAGGCTAGATGCCAGCCTGCTCCTTTCCAAACAAGAGGTCACCTTCTTGCTGCCCCAGAGGCTCAGTAACGGAGAAGACAGATTCCCAACACACACCACAGTCTAGATAGTGACTATCATTGAAAATGAGATTCCTGCGGCGCCCAGCTGGCTCAGCTGGAGGAACACGCACCTCTTGATCTTGGGGTTGGGGTTCGAGCCCCCAAGCTGGGGCTAGAGATTGCTTAAGAATAAAATCTTAGGGGACACCTGGGTGGCTCAGTGGGTTAAGCCGCTGCCTTCGGCTCAGGTCATGATCTTAGGATCCTGGGATAGAGTCCCGCATCGGGCTCTCTGCTCAGTGGGGAGCCTGCTTCCCTCTCTCTCTCTCTCTCTCTCTCTCTGCCTGCCTCTGTCTACTGTGATCTCTCTCTGTCAAATAAATAAAATAAAATCTTTAAAAAAAAAAAAAAAGTTAAAAAAAAAAAAAAA